GCAGGGAGTAACAAACAAGATCAGAGTTTTTATAATCAGTGAAAATGATGCAACATCTTTTTGCTAGAAAAAAAAAATTCTCAAATAAAAAACTCTAGAAAAACATCACTACAATAACATCAAAAAGCCAGAATGGACAGGTACCACATAACAAAGATCACTCACAAACAAAGTGGCATTAAACAGTGATGACCAAGGTGAAGGACGAGAGTCCAGGAAAGCCCCAGACAGGCTGCCAGTGCCTCTCAACAGATGATGAGGACTAACTAGCATGTACCGTAAGGTGCTCCAGGTCGACAGTTTGACCTGAACAGCAGGCCAGACATCTCTAAATTGTTCAAAATTGTCGAAATTCAAAATTATCATTGCTTGGACATAGTTTCTCTCAGGTCCTGAAGTGCTGTTCAGCAATTGATCCCGACCTCAAAGTAGTCAAGAAAATGCATGGACAAATACTGTTTTCAACATTTTCTATCTCATAACTTCTGAGGAAATATGAAAGTTCTGGACTTTCCTTTAGTATAAAAACTTTCACTATTGTATTTAATTTATAATTAATAAATTATTATCATTATAGAAATGTGGGAGAATGGGAAGCTCTTGGGGAAGCATTTTAAAAAAGGCTATTTTTGGTATTGCACTTATTGTTTCATAGTTCCAAGATGCTGAAATCCCCATTAAACTGCCTGTATCCACTGGAAATTAAATTGTCGAATTATTTATTTGGAGCTAGTTTTTATAAAGGGCAGTGTTTATGATGCAGCCAGGCCAGCAAGACAGCTACTTATTCCCACTTAATCCACTGTGGATTTTTTTTTTTATGTTTTTGGCAGTCTGGCTGAAGTGACCATGAATATTTCACAGCTGTATTACTGATACGTGGATGAAGAGAAGATTTCATTTCAATTCAGCATCCTGTGCATTGAGTAATAGTTGGAAATATTTTTATGTTTCCATGTCAGTGATAGCCATGGTCAGAGGCATTATGGTTTGTTTGTCTTGTTTTTCCTTCAGATCTGGCAAAAACATTCATTTGGGTTCAACATGATTAGATTTTAGTGGTCAGGGTTGCTGTGACCCACACAACACATTTTGGGCCGTAACTACATAATGTATGTTATTTTCAGCAAAAGATTTACGTTATATGGGTAACTTATATCAACAATGTCAGCTTCAATTTGTTAAAGCTGTTATACAATATTTTTTCATCCAGCCATCTGCCTGACCACCTCTATTGAGTTCTAAAGTTTGTGATCTGAAAGTCTGAGTCCACAGTTCAGTAATATAAAGTGGTAAAGTATTCACTATATCTATAGGTTTAGGAAGAAAGGGAGCTAAAATATAACTTTAGTTGTTTTTACTTGTCAGTAGTGTTAAAACCTCCCAACAACTGGTTCTCACTATATATGGTATTAGTACTGCTGCAACCCAGTAAACGTGTGCAGGGATATTGGATTGGATTGTTTTGGATATGCCTGCTTCTTGCAACATAAAGTGTTGCAAGAGGCAGGAATTGTGCTCAGTCATAAAGAATTCTGCATTGTTCTTCCGTGTGTACTTTCATTAGTATGTCCTGTACTGAGGCCATCTGAACAAACCACACATTCCTTGAACAGTACAGAATGATAAAAGCTGATTATTGTAAGAGTGATGATGAAAGTTCAGTCTTGGCTTTGGAGAACATTGGTTGGGAAAGGGAATTAAATACAAACGCAGCACTTGAGGCTGCTCTTTTAAAGTCAAATGGAAAAAATCAGCATTCCAACTTTCCCCCACAAACACACATGCTGATGTTTAGCAACTATAATGTTTACCACCTTATTGTGCTAGCTTGTTTACGCTGTATAAAGTGCACTAAGCAGAGGACTCCAGCTAAGGGGGATGGACAATGGGATTTTTTAAGCTGATGGTGGCAATAAATAAATCATCACGAGATGGATTTATCCTCTGTGGGCCATCAGTGCCTATATAAAAATAATGGAAATGCATCCAACAATAATTCTGTAATTCTCAGTAGGCAACAATTAACCTGAACCAAGGTGGTAAACCCACTGACTAACCAACAGTGCCTCATGGAGAGACTCACCAATAACATCCTTCCTATTTTTCTGCTGTTTTCAAAAACAAGATATGACTTTTTTTTAAACAAGTTATATGATACCAACAGTTTTCTCTGTTTGCATACTTCCCATACAGATTGCTGCTTACCTGGGACCTCTTTCACAAAGCAGGTTCAACAGATTCTGATTTGATTGACCCCCCCGAGATGAACAAGAATGGGTTTTTAGCTCAAGGATTCATCATGGCAACAAGTAAATAAAGAGTCAGAATAAGAATACTTTATTAATCACTAAGGAAATTATGTGGTCAGTTTCTCCAAGAGAGTAAGCACAGTAACTGACTAAATTAAATAATATAAAATGTGAAAATATTGCAAAGTTGCAAAATATAACAAAAAAGTTAATATTTACAAATAGCTCAATTATAAATATCCCAGTATAAAACCCAAATTAAATATATATGGTTGAAATTGATGTGCCCCCTTTTTTTAAACCTTTATTTCTCTGTAGACAATGTGCAAATATTAACGGTGTGCAACTGCTGCACTGTGTACTGTGCATTAGTTGTACAGAGAGTAGATTTTCTGTGTCATCTCTCAGAAAATCATTTGGGTAATCTCAGTCTCTCACTGAACGTGCTCCTGTGACTGGCCAGCACATGATGGAAGTATATGGGAGGTCTACTCCACCTTAAGAGAGTCCAGCTCCATCCTCACGTCATTACTGGCCTTGCAGATCAGTTTATTGAGTTTGTTGGCATCTGTGACCCTCAGCCTGCTGCCCCAGCATGCAACAGCACAGAGGATGGCGCTGGCCACAGAATCATAAAAAATCCTGAACATTTACCAACAGATGTTAAAAGATGTCAGCCACCTCAGAAAATAGAGACGACTCTGGCCCTTCCCGACTCCGGTGTTTTTCACACAGTCCAGTTTGTTGTCAGTGTGTACTTTAGGGTATTTATAGTCCTCCACAATGTCCACATCAACCCCCTGGATTGATACAAGGGTCAGCGGTTTCCTAGTCCTCCGAAAGTCATTTCCTTGGTCTTTGTCACATTGAGCTGCAGATGATTCTGCTCACACCATGTGACAAAGGAGTCAACCACAGCCTGGTACTCATTACCCTCACTGATGCATCCAACCACCGCAGAGTCATCAGAAAACTTCTGAAGATGGCAGGTCTCTGTGAAGTGGCTGAAGTCTGTGGTATAGAGGGTGAAGAGGAAAGGGGAGAGGACAGTCCCTTGTGGTGCCCCTGTGTTTCTGATCACCTTGTCAGACACAATGTTAAAGACGCACGTATTGTGGTCTTCCTGTCAGGTAATCAACAATCCAAGACACGAGAGAGGCATCAACCTGCATCGCTGTCAGCTTATCACCCAGGAGGGTCGGCCTGATGGTACTGAATGAAAAGTCAAACAACATGACCCTCATTGTGCTCACCAGTTTATCCAGATGGGCGTAACTATGGTGATTTGAAGATTCAAACTTGACAATTTTAGATTTCAACATGTGGATCAGCAGAGTTACACCATAAAATGTTGTTAAGAGTACATTCAGACTTTTTGAACTGAAGTGAAAATTATTCTAGTGGTTGTCATCTCTGATAGATGACAGACTTCACTGTGTACTGTAGCACTGCACATGGTTGATATGACAATAAAGCCGCTAGACTTGACTGAATCTAAATATCTGATTATATTTAAAAAGGATTTTATATGTGCAAAGCCATTATGTTCTTTGCACATATAGTGTGTTCTTTGACGTCGACTGCATGAACGGGGAAATTCAGTCAGTCAGCTGGATCAGGTGCAGCAGGAGGGGAGAAACAGTTTTTGTGGATGTTAGGTTCTCAGTCTGTTACCCTGGTAACTGTTTTATGTTAGCTCTTTTAATGGAACATAAATTCCAGATTTTTCTCAGTCTTAATAAGCTCCTGCTTTTGAGAACACAGCCCTGGACTTATTCTGCATCCAGACATTTGTAGAAAAAATGATTAGACAAATTATTTCCATTGTATCACAAGTGAAATGTTCTAAACTTGCTAATGTTGTTGTTAATGTAATCCTAAGCACTACAGTAATCTAGTTGTGAGTGTGATCAAATGTAAGGATTTCAGTTACACTTTTTTAAACCAACTAAAATGTCAGTCTGTGGTAAAAAAAAACAACAACAGCCCATTTAGTTTTCATGCAGAGATCACCTTCATCCTTGCTAGCCTGTTAAACTGAAGGTTCTTTTTTTTTTTTAGATGTACACTGACATCTAGTGGTTACAATGCAACAATACAACAATCCTGACAGCATGCAATAGACCCTGAAAGTTCTGCTCCGATGTTACATTAGAATGTTGCTAATGCAGTGGTGCATTTGCAATTTAAAATGTTATATAACTGCATAATGACACAAATAACACCTACAGTAACAAACTGGACTGTATCAACAACATATTGTAGTATAAAAATTGTATACAGTCTGCTAAATTGAGTTTTACTTGCAAACAGCTTTTCTACTCTGTACTTAAAAGCATTTCAAACTACAAGCCATATTCACTCATTCACACACGTTCCCTTAGCACTTAGTTACATACCTTCAGTCACTTTTTACCACCCACTCTAACCAACGAACCTGGGCCAATTTGGGGTTTAGTATCTTGCCCAAGAATAGTTTGATGTGCTGGCTGATTCAAACCACCAACCAGTTAACAACCCACTCTACCTCCTGAGTCACAGCTGCCAACAAATTTCAGCTTATTTACACGACAATCAATAAATTTTCCAATTACTTTTATTTTTTTATTCAACTTTACAAGACCAAACTGAAAAATCTTTGCACACATTGACACATCTGTGTGTGATTTACTCCCACATCCTCCACAGTACTACAAAAATATAAAATATTCAACTAAAATGTTATGATAGAAACCAAAAAACACTGACAGACTTTTGCTCGGAACAAACCAAAGTTACAGTTGACAAAATTTAAAACTTAAGAATCATACATATCGCTCAGCGGTACGTTTGGTGAGCCTTTTTAAACAAAGAGCACATACAGTCACAGATAACTAAAATGATGCGATTATGTTTAAACATAATGAGTATTCTTAGCTTTGGAACTTAAAATGGACTTTTTACCTGATCTAATGTTCTGAAATAGCCTAAATATCCTGTTAAATGAAAATGTGGCTTGAAAAATGGCAACTTGCCAAAATAACACCTATTAAACACTGACTTACAAAAGTTCTCTCTTCTTTCCATCGACATGTTTTACATCTGACAACAAAACAAAAATTAATCATTTGTCTCATGTGAGTGGATGATGTTGACAAAAAAAGAGATTTTATCTCTTCTGTGGGCTGAAATTGTACTTGAGCAAACCCTGCTTCACACCGGGATGTAATCGAAGTTAGCCCACCCTGAGAGGTGGAGCTACAAGGACAACGCCGTCACCTCTCACAAACAGCATGGGGATGTTTCTCTTGGTAGACTGAAACGAAACAAAGATTCACACTTAAAATATTTCACTACTTAAAATATTGTATACACATAGCTTCCAATAAATGTGTTTAACAACAAAGACTAAATATATTTTACTTAAAAATTAAAACATGCATTTGCTTTAATTACATTTTTGTTGTTAAGATGATCCCTGTGATTTTCTCAGTAATGTTAACCCTTGTTAAAACAGAGCAGCGTTTTTTTGAGGCCATGATATAACAAATAGTCAGTGAAATATTATCCATTAAGTACTGTCTGTTATCTGAATGACACATTAACAGTTTTAAAAGATGAAACAGGTTCAACTCAGATCAATGCCACAATAGACCACCAGCACCTTAAACCAAAAGGGCAACGGGACTGGAAAGAAAATGATGTGGCACCTTGTAGAGTTCTTCATAAGTCTCCTCATCGATCTCCACTGTCGTCACAGTCTCCTCCACATCACCAAGGATCATGTTCAAGTGCTGATCGTAAGCCTGGGACAAACAAGAACAAATAAGAGTGCAAAGTAAAAGAGGACAAAAACACTCCAAAAGAAATTGAAGTGCTTGTTTTTAAAAAGTCTTCCGAGCAGCCAGGGTCACACCTGCAGCACTCAAACAACAAAAAAACAGCAACAACAACAACAAAACCCAGCACAAGACTCACATGAAGTCGGCCTCTGAGCTCGCGGTCATTCCTCATCTTGACGTAGATTCGCTCATCTAGACTGAGCCTGATCAGATCAAGTGGCTCCTCAACTGTGTTTGTAGTTGGTTGCTGCAGCACACAGAAAAAAATGACACATGTATTAGGACTGGGCGATATATCGATATATTTTTATACAAGATAAGAGATGTGACAATATCCTTTATATCGATATAGTCTATGTTACGTTATAATTATACTTGTGGAACCGCAAGTTTGCCTCTCTTTCGTCCACTTTTGTCTCTATGCTGTGTTACTCTGCCTCGCCTCTCTCCTTCACTGAACACAACTCCCCCTCCCCCATCGCTTCACCTGCAGGTAACGACAAGATGGACACGGCAGCTATCAAAGAGGAGCTGGTCGGTAAAAAGAAAACATTTGGAGATTACTATTTTAGTGCGGCAGTGTTACTCTCGTTAAAATGACATTAACGCCATAACTGTATTAACGCGGAAAATCTCCATTAACGAGTTACCGCAGGTCGCCCCGTGCGTGGGGCGTGTTGAGGCCGTGCAGCTAGCACTACTAGTATTTTCACCATTTACAACAGCACCATAAAGTGCAAAATGAAGAGTGTGTGAGAAACTGTGTGCTGTATCCCAGACCGCGAAGTCTCCCAGCCTCCTGCCCCGAAACAAACTACCTTACAAAACTCGTATACCGTATTTTTCGGACTATAACCTATAAAGAAATCGACAGCGCGCCTTATGTATGAATTCTGGTTGTGCTTATTGACCGCAAACTGCTTTTATGTGGTACACGGCGCTCAGCAATCTGCCAAAAATGTTTTAGTACGACTTTGGTAAGCTACGAAGCCACACTGCTTGATGGATTGTTGGAACATTACGGCTACCGTAGTCTGGAGCCTCGCGGAGTAACGCATACTGTGCTTCAACGTAAAATTACCGTATTGTGTGCATATAAGGACCACAAATGGCACCTGTAAGAGACATGGTTACGAAGCGGATTTCAAACTGAAGGTTGTCAGTCACGCAGTAGAAGTTGGGAACAGAGCAGCTGCGAAATCTGTCTGTCTTTGTTATTATGCTAAGCGTCTTTTAATTTACATTTTGACTGCACAATTGTGAGCGTTTTGTTATCCACAAAAACAACATTGTTTTATTTTATTTATGGAGAATTATAATTTAATAAATGCTGATAATTTATTTCTGAGTAATTTTTTCATGTACATCTACGCTGTATGTTAATAAAGATGTGAGATCTGGGACACAGCGTGACTAAGAACTCTTTTTGTTCTTTCTTTATGGCTTTAAAAAAAATATCGAGATATATATCGTATATCGCCATCCAGCTAAAGAATATCGAGATATGAGTTTTAGGCCATATCGCCCAACCCTAACATGTATGCTTGACATATCAACAGGATATTAACATTCAACTGCCTTAGAACATTTTCTGTGGGATCATCCCTGATTTGCTTAAAAATGTTACGGTCTAAAGTTTGGACATTTAATGATTGCTGTGTAATTTTAGCTACATGTATTTAAAACTTTAACTACATGTAAGTTACTTTTTTTTTTTTTAATGTTCTGTCCATCCACTTTTTTTTCTTCCGGACTTCAAAATCGGAGGCAATACTTGTACATGAATATCCAAAAATAAAACAATGTATAAAAATAAAAGCTGGAAACTTTCACTAGTCTTCCCTACCATATCTGTAATTTGGCCCAGGTCATCAAACATCAAAAAATGCCTGAGCACTGGCTAAATAGATATGAAAAAATGTAAGCAGTCCTATATTGGAGCACACACTAATAAAAAACAAACCAAAAAAATAAACTATATAACATTCGGAAACTGTCGCACTTCATAATAATGTAAAATGAAACGTGGAATATTTTCTAATATGGTCGAGCAGCAGGCACAGCTGAGATGCAATGACCTATTGCTTGTTCTGCCCACTCGCTTTCTTTGCAAACTCCTTATGCCCGAACCAAAAATAATGAATTTACTTTAATACAGATTAAAAACACAACAAATACCCCCATGTACAAGTCTCTTCTCAAGTTAGCATTTTCTGTGACAAGAATAATCGAGTGATTATCATTTCTAAATGACATAGGCCAGAATTAAATGCAGACCTTTCGAGCAGTTTTGGTGTAAACACCCAAAATATTTAAGGCAAAGTGAAGAAACGTCGTGTTCCATGAGTTAACTGAGTTTTCAGTGAGTTGTTTAATGTTTAGCCCAAATAGCTGTGAACTGCAACCCAGACGCTACAGACCTAACTAACCCAACTTTAGACTAAAAACAGATAAAGAAAATTAAACGTGGACATACATTAGCGGTAATCCTGCGCTAACACGCTCTGCTCTGCCTAAAGAACAGTGGTGCAAATCCTACTGGCGGTAGCATTTACACGCTAGACATGCTAAATCAGCTAGCTTTTGACAGGCCCTTCCGCGCTTTTACCACATCAGTTATGAACAAAGTTACACAATAAGCTCGTTACATCAAGTACACGGGTAAACCTGTCTCCTCTTCACCCATGGGATAATTACATGCACGCTGTTAAAAGAACAACAGCAGAATTGAAGGCAGTTACACCAACCTGCTCAACTTCGTCCGCCATGATGTTTGAGTCTGCGTCGAATGACCGAACCAGTGCGGAGGTTGCCAGGTCTGCAAAAAACCGCGTTTTCACATAACACAAAGCACGCCTCCTGGATGAGACTATAAACATAACGATGGAAGAGGGATAGGGTTACATTACTTAATTGCATTTTAATTATTTATGTTGTTACAGCTATAGGCAAGGTGGGGGTGAGATTACATCAGGGATCTGCTTGTTTTCAGTGGCGATGGACAGGTTTACAGTGGAGGTCAGGCAGGAAACCCTATTAACTACGATCTTTGCAGATAACTGTGATCTGTAGTGAGAGTAGGAAGCAGGAAGAGAGCCTGGAGAGGTGGAAGTATGCTCTTGAGATAAGTGGAAGGAAAGTTAGAATATGTAAATATGTAAATGAGAGGGCAAAGCTGCAAGGAGTTGCAAGGAGCAGAGATAGTAAAGGTAGATGAGTTTGCATACCTGGGGTTGACCAAGGAAAACATTGGATCAAGAGGTGAAGAATATAGTGCAAGCCAGGTTGAGCAGCATTTGTGACAGAAAGATATCAAGCAAGAGTGAAAGGGAAGTCTACAAGATGGTCGTGAGATTTGTTGCGATCGATGGTTTGGAGCTGGTGACAGAGCTGAAGATGGGAATGGATGGACAGGATTAGAAATGAGTATGTCAGAGGCTGAGGTGATGCAGTTTGGAAAGTTGGAGAGGTAAGACTGAGACGGTCTGGACATGTGATGAAGAGGTATAGTGGAAATGAAGTCAGTATGGAGCTGCCAGGAAGGAGATAAAGAGGGAGAACGCAGAGAAGCTTCATGGATGCAGTGGAGGAGGATATGCAGAGGGTTGATGCGAAAGGGTAGGATGGTAGAGATAGGGAGAGATGAAGGCAGATGATCTGCTGTAGCAACCTCTAAAGTGAGTAAATAAAAGAAGGAGAAGAAGCAATATTTATTGTCTAACTTATTTTAAAATCCATGGTACACATTCAAAAATTAAATATGTTTTATTGTCATTGTCCTTGTAATTATAACTGTAAATTTGATTTATCCAAATAAATACAAATAAGCACTCATACGTGCAGGAGAGTGAAGTGCAAACCTGGCAACCCGAATGAGGACGCTAGCAGTTCCTCTGTCCTTTATATTGCCCGTCTGCTTTTCCAGACTTTTCCATCCCCCGCATCTCCGTACAGTGCAACGGCAGATCAGAGGTAGGTTATTAAACATAAACTATATATATATATTTGCATCATTTTTTTCCGTTTCTAATGGCTCATGTCTTTACGAAATTTCAACCTTACTGATGCGGCGTATTCTGTCTTGTTTTTCTGTTTTAGTAAATGCAACGCAACAAAAGTTTACAGTGCCAGACCTTCGCATTAACAGGTCAATGTGAGTTCATATTAAAACAAGCATCCAATACTTTAATATTACAGCTATAAGGCAAACAGTACAGGTTAAACCCACAATACCGTTGTTGTTGTTGTTGTTGTTGTTGTTCTTAAAGGAAACTATGCCCTATAACTCTGAATTTATCCAATTTATTAACTGACTTTAAAACCGCAAGTATCGCAGTTGAATTCAGAGAACTAAAGCTGCATTTACTGCATTAATTCAAGCAAGAAGGCATTCATTTCCGGACATTATTCATTTTTATAACTTTATTCCGCTATTGTCACACTGGGCAGGTGCCACGTGTAGAATGGGCAGCTGTCCCACTTTTTATCCAACTGCGCAGTGAGACCATTATTATTACTGTTGTTGTCATCGTCGTCATTGTTATTCTCTGTCCCACATGTTGAGATAATCTCCCAAATTTTGCTGTAGTTTGCAAAGGTCAGAAGTGCAGAACAGACACTTTTCTAATGCAAATGAAGAAAGTAAGGCTGAGATCATGACTGAAGTTTAGGCGAACAATGCTGCCTATGCTATACCCAACAAGGAAAGCTGTATATAGATATTGTTATATTCCCTCTGTGTGGCTCCAAAAGAAGTGTTCTATGTATATCTCTGACTGTAACCCCAGTAAAATACAGTAAAATCAAATGTATTTATATTTGCAACATATCCTTCACAAATTCCAGTGTCTTTGTTCCACATTAAGTTTGTTTGGATTTGGTCACACTTGCCACATGTGATTACAATTAACAGCATTTTTCTTATACAGAAAATCTTTTTGTTTTACAAATAGTTAACTTTATTCACTCTTTCTCTTGTCTTGTTTTTCTTCTCTGGCTTTCCTCTTTTTTTTTCCTTTCTGTAAATCTGTGTGTGTGATTGACTGCGTGTGCACCTCCTCTCCCAGTTCAGTCCAGTGTTCCATACTGGGTTTGTGTGCAGGCTGAGGAGGCAGATCAAAGCAGTGCTGTTACCCATTCCACCCTCAGCTTCAGCGCGGCTGTGTGGTGGAAGAAGTCCCTGCTACAGATAAGCCAAACAACCTGTGTGGCCCAGTGCTAGGACCACTGACTGCACACAGTTTCATATTTGTAAATTTGTTAAAGTTTTGTGAGAAAGCAGGCAATATGTCTGCGCTTGTGTGGGTGAGGGTTTTTTTGCATGCTTGTTTCTTTGATCTGTCATGTCAAAACCAGATAAGGGTGTGTTTGCCATTAAACAGTTGGCAGCTGGTGGCCTAGAAACTGAAACTGGTGCCTAAACTCACAGTTGTTTTGTTTTGCTCACTTTCTGCTCGTCAAGGTCCTCTGTGTGTGTTACCTGCCAAAAGATGGCGCTAAACGATAGGAAGACAGAAGCTGACGTCATCAGTCGTTGAAGGTCAACAGATAAGCTGTGGGAAACTGTCACTGCAAATCAGTCCTGTTAACAGCTATAATAAACACGACAGTCAAAAAGGGTGATTTTAAGACATTTTCTCAGGTGAAACACTACAATAAGCTGCACCTGCTTTTACTGCATTGAAGTTTTTACTGATTTCAGTGGAGCACAGCTGAAATTAGCATAAAAAGTCAAAAGATTATGCAAGTGTCCTAAACTGTGTAATGATTTATCAGGTGTTTCAACTTTGTACAGATTTTTTGTTTGTAAATAGAAAGAAAATTATTTTTGTATTACATTTCAAATAATAAGAAGCACAGATCAAATGTTTTATACACTTTGAACAAGGTTTACTGTTCGGCTTTAAGCAAGGAAAATACAGAGTTGTTGTCTGAATGTGATACACACTGAATTAAAGTTATCATTTTTTCCACTTTAACATATTGTCATAAGTGTTTGTACTGTGAAGATTAACAGTGTTACAAGGTCATCTGCTGTAGACCTACTTTACTATATGTAGTCCAAAGAGTCTGCGTCTCAAGAGTGTTCCAGCAGACACAGAACCAGGGTCCAGTTTCGCAAAGCTATTTTTACCCAGTCTTAATTTTGTTATTGCACAAGTGTAGCTTACTCAAAGGTACATGATTTTAAGGCTAAACGAAATTAGTCATCTTCACGCCAGTTGAACTGAGCTGTATTTCCATGTAAACAACCAGTGTCACCTAGCCACCAGCTTTTCATGTTCCCATCAGTGACCGCTTCATCAAATGACTAAACATGCAACATATGATTGAGCCTCATTCTATACGGATCAGTTAAGCCCTGTCTACACTTAAGTCCATAAAACGGTGCTGAGTCTACAGTAGTAAGTGCTCTAATTGGTAGTTGCTTCAATCAAAGTTAAGACGTTTCATGGGAGTCCTGTCTGTCATCGCTTGCAGTTACCGGATCTTACTGACTTTCTATTAGCTATCAAAAAAAATCACATTTTACATTTAAGCCAGAAGATTTGTATTGTAGGCTGATTATTTCATATTCATGCTTTTCCTGTTGTGTAACAATGGCATTGTGTGTGTGTGTGTGTGTGTGTGTGTGTGTGTGTGTGTGTGTGTGTGTGTGTGTGTGTGTGTGTGTGTGTGTGTGTGTGTATGTGGACAGTGAGAGTTCCTCTACTGGCCTGAAATGAGGTCAGTGATATCATATGTATTGTAGATTGATACAAAGGATGATATAATACAAAAATCGAAAGCAACAACCTGCAGCTGTTATAAAAAGGTCTGCATAGATCACACAGCATAAACACAAATACAACAAAAGGCTAAAAGCTCATAGTTGAAATAATTGTTTATAAAACACCTGTAATTTATTTTATGGTGGAGCTTAATTATAACTGAAATCAGTGAAAAACGAATCCTTTCATTTATAAGATGCCTCTCAAATCTGATTTGGATCGTCCATCTCCATCTTACCCTGTTCTTAGCATCCTCCTCTTACCGACCCTCTGTATGTCACTACATCTGTGGAATAAGCTCCAGCGCCCACCCCACCTCCACCCCAATAAGAAAAAAAAACTGAATTGGATAAGCGGTTAAGAAAATAGATGAATGGATAAAAGGTTGGCTGTATGAATAAGGCCTATTTTCTTCTCAAAATAAAGTGAATGCAGTGTCATTCGTAGCCACAGCAGGCCAGTGTTGGATCACAAAAATACTCTTTCTATTCAGTCTGAGCTTCCAATATAATATGTGAAAATAAAGTTGAGGAGAATAAAATCAGGAAAGACAGTGTCATATATGACATTGACCATTTTTTTTATATTGCATATGTGCATAACAAAGGGATTTTGTTTTTTTTAAATTGGCCTAAGGAAGTAAAATCAGCCTTAAGTCACTTATATGTTATAAATGCGTACTAATGGGCCAGTGAAAATTTTAAAAGTAATGATAAAGAGTGAAATGCAGCTCATTTGAGTGTTTAAACACTTAGAGTACGTGAGCCAGGGGAAAGCAGCACTATAGTTTAATTATCCTGGTTTATTCTTGATAAAACTCCAAGCTCTGGGCAGGCTAGTCAGTTGTCCATACCAGTTAGTTAGTATGCATTTTTGGCTATAATATCTTTGTATTTTTCATTATTACATTTGTAAGTTCTGATTTCAATTCAGGTTAGTTTCATCTGATTTGTAGTGTTTTTTTTTCTCCTGTCAGTTTTGTAATGTTTGGCTTTTGTTTGTATTTGTTTTCAGTAATTTTATGATGCTCAAATGGTCATACAAGCGTTACAATAAACATATTCACCAAAGCTTGTCTGTAGTGACAAATTTGACCTATTTTTCATGTCTCCTTGTTTTTGAAAGGGCGCCAAATAATTTTCGGGTTTTTTTTCTTTATAACAAACTCCATAAGAACTATGAAAACACACATCTAAATATCTGTCTAATTTTGTACATGGGAGCATTGTTGCTGCAGAGTGTTTGTTTTCTGATCGTGTAACATGTTTTGCACTGATTGTTTGAATAGAAAAGGAGACAAAGGCAGGGAGCTGGTATGAACCAAATGCAGCTGTCCAGTTTCATCATCCTGCAGTCATGTGCACACACACACACACACACACACACACACACACACACACACACACACACACACACACACACACAAAAAGCCTTAAACACTCACAGCAGATTCACACCTTGTCACCACCACTGCTCACTTCATTGTTTCATGAAGATTACTCACATTGACGCATTTACATGAACAACACCTCCATCTGGATGAGGACGTGCAGCTAAAGAAATATGACACCGACTCTACTGCTTGCTGAGACTCGTATCTGTGTGTGTGGCTATATTCATATAGACTGTGATATTCTGACACTGACCCAATTAAGACAAATGTCAGCCGTGAAAACAACATTTTATGATTACTAAAGGATGGAGTAAGGCCTTTCTCCAATTATTTGGAGTAATTCTGATTAAAGTGCTGCCTGAATTTGTATCACGCAGTCAAATTTGCATCAGATTTAACATTTGATGTTTTTTAACATTGCGGGTTAATGAATCAAACATATGAATATGACAGGAGGTTAAAGGAATTTTTTTTTTTACATTAGACCTTATCTGACAAAAATGACTGATGGGAAATTATTACACATTCTGTGTCCTTTATTAAAGGACATCCAGTAACTTTGCAGCTGCACTAAACAACTTCTCATTCTTGCAACTCTAAGGTGGAAAAATGTTAATATGTCAATGAAAGGCACACGTTGCACTGATGTCAAGCCTTCCAAAAAAGAAAGATGAAATAGGAAAACATGCCATTGTTTACTTTTTTATTTGCAAAGAGCTCATTACATGTGATTCTGTATGTTCTGTGTGTGTGACCACCACCATCACTTCATTTTACTGAGGCTCGCTAAATCTAAAGCATTACAGTACACTTTGTTTTTGTGTATTTGGAGTATAGTTGAATTTAGCTCAGATAATGCCACAACAACTGTGTTTAGCGGTTAGAAAAGTGTGCTTGTGTCTGAAAGAACTCCAATTTAAGACTAAAGATGTGCTCACAATCACCCATAACGTTTCCAAGCTTGTTTGAGCTCCAAGTCCAGTTTGTTGTCTGGTGTGATCCCTGTGTTCTTTGCCCAGTTCCAGTTAAGAGAACCACACTACTTAAAGAGGTGGCCCTGTGTACCGTATGCTTGTAGTGATACCAAATGACTCATCAGTTGTGCAATTAACATTTATAAAAGGACAACATGTCAGTGTTTCCCTATTTAAGCCACCAAAAACCATCAAATCATGAACTCTGTTGTGCTCTGCTGAAAGAGTGTAATAGCAAGCACAAGAGAGAGAAGTTGAGATCCTGAGCCAAACGGAAGCTCTTAGCTTTCTCAAGGTGCAGGGCATGCGCAGCCAGTGGGGAGTAGGGAAGGTGTACAGTCTTGCTTGTACAAGGTAGCCAATGCCCTTGAAGTCCTGCTTCAAAGCTTTGACATCAACATTTTGGCAGTTGGTGTAAAGGCAAAGTGTCTGAGAATCTCAGGGCACTTGCATGATTTTTTGGTAGCATGATGTCAATCACAAAGTAGTCCCAGCCTTTACATAATTTACATAACTAACTTCAATATGTGTTCAATAACACCTGAAACCAACAACTGGGACTTTAAACACATCAGGAAAATTTAAGTCAAGTCAAGTCAAGTCAAGTTTATTTATAAAGCACATTTAAAAACAACCGAGGCTGACCAAAGTGCTGTACAATAAAATACAAATGTAAAATACAATAAAACACAAGTACATAAAACACCTCACTGATAAAACAATAAATTAAAACAATAAGTTAAACCTTGCTAAAAGCCAATGAGAAGAGGTGAGTTTTAAGAGCAGTTTTAAAAGTTCCAAGGCTTGTGGAGAATCTGATGTGAGGAGGTAAACTGTTCCACAGTCTGGGTGCAGCCACAGCAAAAGCCCCCTCTCCCCTAGTCTTTAGTCTGTACCTGGGAACATCTAAAAGCATCAGGTCTGCTGACCTCAAAGATCTCCTGGGGCGGTAAATGCTAAGAAGCTCTGCCAGGTAAGGAGGTGCAGTACCGTTAAGAACCTTAAAAACCAGCAGTAAAATTTTAAAATCAATCCTAAAATCAACTGGAAGCCAGTGGAGAGAGCAGAGGACCGGAGTGATGTGGTCTCTCTTTTTGGAACCGGTCAGCATGCGAGCAGCAGCGTTCTGCACCAGTTGGAGGCGATGCAGACAGGAACGATCTAAACCAGCATAAAGGGAGTTACAGTAGTCCAGCCGTGAAGTAATAAAAGCATGGACCACCCTTTCTAGATCGTTCCTGGACAGGTAGGACTTGACTTTAGCTAAAATCCGTAGATGATAAAAAGATCCCTTGACTACGGAGCTGATGTGTTTATCAAATTTAAAAGCACTGTCAAAAGTAACACCGAGGCTCTTAATGGAGGAAGTACATTCGGAAGTTAGGGGTCCCATAAAGTCAAAGGAAAGGTCGGGGTCTTTAGGAAGCCCAAACACAATGACTTCAGTTTTACTTTCATTTAGATGTAGAAAGTTAAGAGCCATCCAAGTCTTAATGTCAGACAAACAGGAGAATAACGGCTGCAGAGAGTCCTTACAGTCTAACCTCAGAGGGAGGTAGATCTGACTTGCAGTGACTTGCAGGCACATTTTTCTATAGTCTATTTCTCTATAGACTTCTTTATAACTGTATTTCTTTTTGCAACAAAAAGCCATACTGGCTGTTAGAAAGATTGCAGCTTGAAGGCACTTCCATGTTGGCATCACATTACAGGCCCAACGACTAAAGTTTATGTAAGTCTGGACTCCACCAGTGGAGTTGCCCAGTGATGAACAGCTGATTTTTATTTTAGAACTTCCTGCGACCTCCGACCTCCGTGTTTGTTGATTACTGCCAAATTTA